TTTTAAATTTAATTTGACTTTAGTTAACAAATAAAATTTTGGGAAGAAAAAAGAAAAAATAATCTACAAATGGTCCTTAAACTATCATCGTCGTATCATTTTGATCTCTAAATTAATAAATATGTCATTTTAATCCTTATTCTATTTAGAACGCTTTTGATAACACTGAAATTGACTGAATTAGCTGAATCTACTGATAATAATGAAGTTATGGCTGAAGCAACCAAGTTATGGAAAAAATATATGATGAATTCCCTAAATAGGAGTAAAAAAGTTTTGAAAGTCCAAAATAGGACTATCATGTTTCTTATTCCTTAAATAAGAAGAATTTTTTGCCAAGTTTGACGTTACTAGGCTTTAAAACATGACATTTTTTCCCAAACTTGGCAGATTACTCTTATTTTAGAATTTCAAAAGATTTTTGCTCCTACTTAGAGGAATTTATAAAAAATATATTTAAAATATCAGCTGAATCTGATCTGCTATATTATAGAAAAATTATATTTAAGATATTTTATTAATAAATAAAGAAATAATTACATATATATGACTATATTAAATGTAGTTTACAAAAATGTGACTAATGACTATATATGTAGTACGTGTAGTAACTTAATCATAACAACTTATGTTGATTTTTAAACTTAAGTGACTACTCCCTCCGTCCCATAATACTTAGCCAATGTTGACTTGCACGTAGATTAATAAAGTAAAAACTGTGTGGTTGATATTTGTGCAGAGGAGAGAGAAATAACTTTAGCCACGTATTTGTTACTTTAAATGGAAATGGCAAAGTATTTTGGGACGGCCAAAAAAGGAAAGTTGACCAAGTATTAAGTTGTAGTATGAGATTATAACATAGTAACTATTAGTCATATTTTTGTAACTAAGTTTCACTTTTGTAATATTTTCCAAAAGAGCTCATAAATTAAATAGAAAAATTATAAGAAAATAACTAAAATCCTCATCTGTAGTAACTTCAAGTCTTCAACGTAATCAACCCTGTACGCGAAATTAAAAGTTGATTGTTGAGGTTGGTGAGTCAAACGGTCTCTTAGTCTTTATCAATCCAGTTCGTCCGTCATTTGTAATTGCCAAGTTGACGGAATGTTCAAGATATTGCATCTAAATGTTGTGTGTATAACATATTATATTTAGATATTGACCACTTGGAAAATTTTATCTTAAGAAAAAGATCAAAGAATTTTTCTAGTCTAAACTACTTCCCTTTATTAATTATAAACCATCCATAAATAAAAGATAATAGTAATAATAGTACTAACAATAATAATAATAATCCTTTTTTTTTTGTGTACTGTCTCCATACAATTGAGTTGTTTGATTCTCTGTTAAGAAAATAAAAGTAAACAACTAAACAAGAATGGCTACGAGCCTACAATTGTTAAGATGTTTTTAATTGGACTGACATTTGCTCATCTGGTTTGGTCTGCTCTTGTCTGGTCTAATCTGGTCTGGTATGTTTAAGTCTGATCTAGTCTTGTCTAAATTAGTCTGGTTTGACGTTTGGGACTAAAAACAGTCCAAGTAAAAACATTCTTATTATAATAATTATTATTATTAAAACTATTATTTTTATTTCTATATATTATTATTATTTTATTATTATTATCATTATCATTATTATTATTATTATTTTTAAACCTAAAACTAATATACTTGCTTCCAAGGTGGAGGTAATAGAGATCGATGGGTCCTGTTTAGGGAGTGCTCCGTATTAATAGCCAGGTAGACTTACGTGGGAGCACATGACGGGCTCTATAAAATTTCTGTATGGTATAACTCTAAGGACATGTTTACTTCACGGCTTACTAAACGGTGCTTATTAAGACTCGCGTTAATAAGCGGCACATAAAATAAGCGATGTTGTAAGGTCATGTTTACTTCAAAAGATTTAAAACACCGTTTAACATTAAAATGTCCAAAATAGCCTTATACAAGTATATAATATAATACGTGGGAGTCACCTCGTACACGTACCCATACCCCTACCCCACCACCCCTAACCCCGACCCCTAACCCTACCCTGACGCTGACCCCTTTACCCCCTACCTTGACCCAACACCAACACCCCTAACCCCCTGTACCCCCTACCCCCTAGGTAGGGTAGGGTGTAGGGTAGGGGGTCCAGGGTAGGGGTGGGGTCGAGGTAGAGGTTATGCCAGGTGGTAGGGGTAGGGCCGAGGTAGGGTAAGGGGTATGGTCGGGTCAGGGTGGGGTCGAGGTAGGGGCAGGTGGTAGGGGTAAAGGGGTAGGGTCGGGGTAGGGTAAGGTATGGCCATAATGGGGTAGTGGGGGTGGGGTCGGAGTCGAGGTCGAGCTAGGGGCAGGTGGTAGGGGGTAAAAGGGTAGGGTCGAGGTAAGGGGTACAAGGCCCTAGGGTGTAGAGTAGGGGTAGGAGCACGAGTAGGGGTAGGGGGTAGGGGATGATGGGATGAGTCCAGGGTCGGGGTGGGTTCGAGGTAGGGGTAGGGGTGGTAACGGCTAGGGTAGGGTACGAGGTGGGGGTAGGGCCGAGGTAGGGTAAGGGGTATGGTCGGGTCAGGGTGGTGTTGAGGTAGGGGACAAGTGGTAGGGGGTAAAGGGATAGGGTCAGGGTATGGTAAGGTATGGTCAGAAGGGGTAGTGGGGTGGGTCGGGGTAGGGGCAGGTGGTAGGGGGTAAAAGGGTAGGGTCGAGGTAAGGGGTACAAGTGGGGGTAGGGTTAGGATAAAAAGTGGGTGGGGTCAGAGTAGGGTGGTAAGGGTTAGGGTAGGGGTAAAAGGGGGGTGGGGTCAAGAACGGGTTGGGGTCGGGGTGGGTGGGTCAGGATAAGGTAGAGTTAGGGGGTAGGGGTGGGGGTGGGGTAGAGGGTAACAATAGGGTAAGGTTAAGGAGTAAGGGTAAGGTAAATTCGAAAAGTGAAAAAGCTTAAAGTGTCGCTTAATTAATACATGGGGATGGTATGCTTAGTAAGCGATACTTTAAGCATCTCTTTCGGTTAGTAAACGGCTTTTTAAGCAGCTTGCGTGTTTACTTCATCTGTCTTACTAACCTAACTGTGATTTTAGCAGCGAAGTAAAAGCCTCTTAAGGCTTAGTATAAAAGCACATTTTATCTGCTAGCGTGAGCCAATAGAACATCCCATTTAAATGTGTCCTTCCCCGTTACGTCCATTACACTTTTGGGCAATTTCGTCCATATCCCATTTCAAGAATTTTTTTGAGAAATTGTCAAATAGGTACTTATATCATGACAAAAACATTAATTTTCATTTTCGTGGACTATGCTCCCCTTTTGCGCACAGTAGCAAACCTTCATTTTCATCGTTGTTCCAAGCCCGATCGCCACCTCTCATTTGCTTCGCGGTGTGGATGTCTCCGCCGAAGGGTCCTCTGGTTCGTCCCCTTGTTCAAATCTGAGGTTCTCCAATGATGCTCCTCTCATTCATCATCATCGTCTGTTTCGTTGCGTGGATGTCGTCGCCAGGATGCTCCTCCGGGTCTTCTTCTATCTAATTGATCGAGGGACGGCGATGAAGAAGTCTCTTTGTCTTCCAATCCAACTGAAACAGAATGTCAGCGAATAAGTTCCGTTTCAGCCATCGTGCCTCTTTTCTTTGATGTTCTTCAACGAGCCCGTGGAAGCCCAAGGTATATCCGAGGTTTTTAAATATTTCTTTAGGTAATTATGGATTTAGAGATCTGATGGAATCCAATGCTTATACTTCATTCCGAAGATATGGTTGTACAAATTGTGGAAGAGAGATGCATGCCAATTTGTTTGGGGAAGATGAACAATAACAAGTTGCTAGCCTCACTCTGGCCAAGAAAAAAGTAAAATTATGCCACAGGGGCATACACATGGATGACTACTGGCAAAACTGATACAGAACCAACTAAAAAGAAAATTTGGATGTGCTTTTTAGTTTGGGGATTTGATTGAGTGGTTAACTACTATGAGCACTTAATTGATTTTTTGGTATAGTACGAGGACTTATTTCACAATTTTCCCAATTTTTTTCAATTTCTTACATTCCTTTTTAGTAGGTCCCATTTAAAATTTCTCATTTCTATTTTAGGAATAAATTAATACTCTTAAATGTCAGTTTAATCATCACGTATTAAAAATAATGCATGTAGAACATCACAATTATCATTAATGACATCATTATATTATTTAATCATCAAAGTTATTTCTCAAAATACTCAAATTATCATATTTAATTATTATCTAAATAATCGTGTCATTTTGCAATTAGAAATTTTGAGAGAAAGGAGGTGGTAAAAAACTTATTAATCCCGAACCGGTTAGATCCGTTCCTATTATGGAAGAACCAGCTGGTTCTACGTACTGATTCTGACCAATAACCAGTCAAACACACCAGGTTAGGCAACCATGCCCAGATGCAATCATGGAGGAATGGAGATACCAAAACATCATCAGTTCAATAAACAAGACTATATCCACTTCCAGTTCAGGACTTCTTTATAACATTATAAAAACACAGTGCATCGTACGATATTACCTTTCTTGTACAAAATCCAACATCATAAACATTTGAGATTCAATGGAGAAGGAAACTGTGGTGATACAGAGGATATGGAGGAACATATGAACGAACAGAACGGAGAGCTGAATGCACATTACCGTCCATCTACTGAAGTAAACGAATCAGCAAACCCATTCGGACGTGTGGGTATACTCGACTGTGTATTGTCCGCACTACCAAGATAAGAAGGCGTATCAATCCCACTCATCCCCTCGAGAGCCTGCCACTTCTTAATAGCCTGTGGCAGGCTGAGGTCATAAACGTCAATTCCGTAAAAATCATCCTCCACACTCGGTTCGGCCGGCTTCCACAGCTCGGCTAGGGATGAGAGCACGTTGACCACATGACTCATGTCGGGCCTCTGGTGCGGGTCCCGTGCGCAGCAATGACCCGCTAACTCAGATACAGTGTTTAAACTGATCAGCACTTCTTCACTCAGGTTAATTGTGGAGTCGATCGCGCTCTTGAACTGCTCCTTGTCCTGCTGCATCCTGCGGAACCACGGGACGAGATGCACGCTCTCTTCTGGCTGAGATTCGTCCAGCGCTTTCCTTCCCGTAATTAGCTCCATAAGAATGACTCCAAAACTGAACACATCAATCTTGGTTGTCACTCTCCCCGTAACTGCATCATGCCCAATCGAATCAAAACAAACATAGTCATTTCTCATTCTTGGGAAATTGAAATGTGTATGAGAATTTTGTTAATGCCAATCATATGTAAGAAGGTTGGGCTTAGTCAGCTAAGTGTCATGGACTTGTTCCCTCGGATTTTTAGGCCAAGAAGAAAAGGTCACAGCACAGGGCTAGTTTCGTTAGGGGATTTTAAAAGTGGGGGTCGGGATTTCGAGGATTGATATTTGTTTTAAATTTATTACATTTAGATGAATACAGAGAAATTGAACGATGAAAAATTCAGATAATAATACAAAGTAGAGAAAAAGGTCAAATGAGGTCTACTATTATGAAATCATCACATAAAGTGTCATATAAATACATCTACTTATAAAAAAACAATCAAATGAGGCCTAATGACCTATAAATACGTCTACTTATAAAGTGTCATATATATACGTCTACTTATAAAAAACAATAAAGTGTCATATAAATACGTCTACTTATAAAAAAACAGTCAAATGAGGCCTAATGACATGTTGTGACAACCTCGTAATCCCGGTTTTATCGTACGTTTGGCTATATTTTTAAAATAGATTATAAGGCTGACGTGAAATATTTGGCTAAGACTGGCTTAAATAAAAGGCAAAAATAATGACATGTAAGCTAAAATCAGGATTAGAAGGTTGTCAACAGGTCATTTTGACGCATCCGGTTGCTTTTTATAAGTAGACGTATTTATATGAAACTTTATTAAGTACATGAACTTCTGTGACGATTCCGTAATAGTAGAAGACCATATATGACCCTTTTCCCTACAAAGTACTCTGTATTATTTAATTTTACATGCATTTATTATTTTTAGCCAAGACTAACAAAAAGAGAAAAATTCGTAAAACAAATATCCATCCTCCTTTTTTGTACCCAATCCCTGATACAAACATATTGGTGTTATTTAATTACTTGGGAAACTTTGATCGGTGTAACTAATTTATTCTTACACTTTGATGGTAGGAAAGTTAAGTGAATATCAAAGTATTACCTCCGTCCCACTCAACTTTGCCAAGTTGATGTTAGGTGGGAAATTAGAATAGTAAAATTTGTGTGGTTGAGGTTTGTGCAGAGGAGAGAGAAATGAACAGAGCCACAAAAACATTGCTTTAAAAGGAAAGTGACAAAGTTTTTTGGGACAAACAAAAAAGGAAAGTTGTCAAAGTCCAGTGGGACGGAGGGAGTATCAATTTGTATAGAAATGATTTATCTAAAGAGACGCAATTATAGGTATTGTCTGGTCTAAAACTAACACACAGAGATAAATTGAACCCGGCCAAAATACGCCAGCCAAACTAGGCTATTGTTTGAAGGTAGCAGGGATTTTTTTAGGGATTTTTTTGGAGTAAAAACTTCTGATCAAACCCAATACATGTGCAAACATAGGTAAACTCGAAAGCATAGCAGTCTATATAGGTTTCCATTGGTAAATTTTCCTGTTCAGTTGCTTTCAATTCACACAAAAAAGTCGGGAAAAGAAAAATCAGGAAACTTTTGACCATAGTAGTTTTCTGTATTTCAGTTTCTCAAAACATGAAAGAAGCTATAATTGAATTTCTTGTTTTCAAAACGTGTTTACGAATTTTACCGTCTTTTTAGTGAAACATGAATTCTGGTTTCCAAATAGTTCCCATTAAAAATAAATAACCTAGTAATATAACAAAATATGTGCAAAACACACATACCAAGCATAATTATACTTCAAAAAGTTATTGGAATACATAAATTTCTTGTTTACATTATTTCAAAAACATACAAGTTTCTGACTATGTTTGGTTTGGTTTATATAATTTCATATCAAATATAGATTAACTATTAAAGTATACGCACACAAAAGAAACACATAATGTATAAAACAGAAAGGAACAAAAGTTGCCAAATGAACTGACAGAAAGACATACCTGCATATTCCGGTGCGAGATAACCGAAAGTTCCGGCTAATCTAGTGACGATCGAAGCATTCCCATCCGCAAGGCGAACAAGCCCAAAATCAGCAACTTTAGCCCGCATATCATCCCCTAGAAGAATATTTGACGGCTTAAGATCTCTGTGAATGAAACTTTGTTGTGCCAAACCATGCAAGTACTCAACCCCCCTAGCCACATCCAAAGCAATTGTTATCCTCTTCATCCACTCGAGCGGCTTCAAGCCTTCTTCCTTCCAATCAAACAGAAACCGACTAAGTGTCCCCTGAGGCATGTACTCATAAACTAGAAGCTTCTCATTCCCATCCAAACAATACCCAAGCAGTGCAACCAAATGCCTATGTCGAACTTTGGTAAGGACTGAAATCTCGGATTTAAACTCACCCAAACCTGTATCACCTACTGCACCCAATGCCATCCTCTTGACAGCGATTTTTGTCCCATCGTGCAATTCTCCCCCATAAACCGTTCCGAAACCACCCCTCCCAAGAATATTACTTTCATCGAAATTTTTAGTAACACTCTTTAGAACTTGGATAGAGATCATCAGGTTGCCCGACTCAATGATATGTGCATCGCCACTAGGTGCACTACTTCCATAGCTAAAAGACTCACTTGCACCTCCTCCATTAAAGCCCGAATCCGCAATAGTAATTTTAACCGCATCACCGTCTCCAGAATGGCGGGGATGGATGACCATTGTGTGTGGGCTCTGCACTTTCCCAGACCGCTTCTTCTTCGTTTGGCAGAAGCAATAGAAAATTATCCCAGCTAAAGCGGCTATAGCAATGACAGCACCAACTGCTCCACCAACAACCACGCCTGTGGATGATTTCTTTTCACCACCAACATCTGTGGTGGGGGCAGAACTAGGTGTTGTACTTGGTCGAGAAGGAGGCCTACCACTAGGAGAATGTGGGGTTGTTGAAGGAGGAGGAGGAGCAAGAGGGGCATCTTTCCCAATATTGACATTTCCATCTGTTGTCACTTTCACACTATCGTTAAACTTAGGCACCTTCCCATAAAGATGATTATTAGAAACGTCGATTGACCTAAGTTCAGTCAACCTTGTGAGCTGCTCTGGGATGGTTCCCGTGAGATTATTATTGGACAAAATCAACGTGTGCAGTGTTGTGATATTTGCAAAACTGGGAGAAATCGTCCCTGTGAGTCTCATTTTTTGAAAATTCACAACCGAAATCTGGTCATTATCGCAGCTTATGCCCCTCCAAGGGGGGATACAAACACGATCACCCTTCCAGTCCTGTGCGAACTGGGATGGGTATCCAAAATCCTTGGCTATGGCTAACAATACGTTGACCTGAGAATCACATTGTTGACCAGGCTTGTCTGTACAGAAACTATTAGTGTCAGGTGCTGCATCAACCTGAACTGTCTTTGCAAATTCTGGAGTTGGGCCTTGGAACATATTATTAGTCAAATTCACAACTTGGAGCGAACCTATCATAGTCAACGAATCCGGGATTAGGCCGGAGAGATGATTGTCTCTCACACTAAACTCTTTCAAAGAATTGAGGGCAGATAAGTCCGGGATTGAGCCGGTAAAAGAGTTTCCATGCAACCAAACTTGGACAAGGTCTGTCATGTTTTGCAGAACAGAGAGGGGGCCGTTAAGTCTAGAATCACCGCTTTGCCCATTCAGCCATAAGTTTTGCAAGGGTGAGCCAGAGAAGCTGGAAGGCAGTTGCCCGGATATACTATTGAAGGATAAACGCAGTTCCGTTAGGCTGGGGAAGCTAGAGAAAATCTCGGGAAGAGGACCGGAAATAGTGCAATTTATGGCGGAAAAAAACCTGAGAGTTGAAGCATCCTTCAAGCTCTCCGGGAACTGCCATGTGGCGAAAGGGTTGTTGTCTAGAGTAACAGTTTCCAAAGAATTCATACCGGCGAATAAATCGGGGGAAATCGAAGTGAAGCCATTTCCGTTGAGGAGGAGCCTCTGAAGCGAGGACAACCCGGCGAGATTGGGCACTGCTCCGACCAGGCCGTTCTCCATCACTTCGAAAACCGTCAAGGCGGTGAGGTTTCCGAGATTGGCCGGGAGAGACCCGGTTATACCCTTTTTGCCAATTTGGATCTTCGTGACCCGACCATTTTCGCACTCCACCTGCGCCCAATTGCACGGGACTTTATCGTCCCACCGGAGACCCGCCGCCTTCGGAATCTCGATACCCTTCTTCAGCTCTTGCATTACAGCGGCGTCATCAGGGGCCTGGGACAGAGCCGGCCTAGCAGCAAAGGCCGCAAGAAAAAGAATACGCAGAAAAAGCTCCGATCTTGAAGCTATACCGGGGAAACCCGGATAAAGTTTCTTCATTCCGATCTCCAGAATCAATCAGAACGAAGAACGACGACAACTTTCTTGAAGACGACAGTTTCTACTCATCAAATGTATTATACAGCCATAATTACATCGTATCGGTATCATGAGCTCCGTATACGAGCTAATTATTATTTGATTGACTAAAGAGAGGAAGACTATACAGAATTTAGAGTGAGCTGATTGAACGGCGGGGATGGAGGAATAAGTGAAGAAAATTTGACTGTCAAAAAGAAAAAAAGTGAGAGAGTGGCGTGGGGTTTTGTTTACTACTACATGTTGAAATGGCGAGGAGCAGTTACCATTGCCAGGGAAAGGTGACTGAGTAAAAAGAGAAGCTCAATTGAAATTATGAAAGGGCTGGAATCGTGTGGCCCCCACATCTTTTAAATGTCGGTCCACTTTATCATGGTCCAAGTTCTATCACTTGGGCTTAGCTTGATTCTGGCTACTCCTAGAAAGGATCTTGCCCAACCATAGTCCTCGGAATTTTGATTATTAAAAATGTTTTTTACTCGTTCTGCCCATATTTAGAAAAAAAAAATTGCATTATGTTTTTGTATGATTCTTATTCCCTCCATCCCAAAAGATTGGCCAAATTTCCTTTTTGGATGTCTCAAAAAGATTTGTTATTTCAATTTCAAGTAAAGAATATGTGGCTAAAATTAATTTTCTCCTCTACACAAATTGCAACTACACATTTTTTACTTTATTAATCCACATGAAAGTCAACTTTGGCTAACCTTTTCGGGACGGGGGGTATTTTTTTACTTATGGAGTTAAAAAATCACATCATCTTTACCCAAAGTATGATTTTGTTGCTTATTTGACTAAAAAATGCTACTTATGTGTGAAGCTCATCATTATTCAAAGAGGAAACGACAAGGGGTGGTAGGATTTGTTTCTATTAAGCTCGATATGAGCAAGGAGTTGAGAACTTGGTTTGTTGATATTAATTTGACTAGTATTAAGATACTAGTTGGACATTAAAATGAAATGTTGTTAAGATTGATCCTAAGGTTGGATTGCGAAATGTTATGCCTTAAGTAGTCTTAAGAGATGCTCTAAGGTAGGAAAGTATGAACTCTAAGTTATACTAGGGGTAGGCCTTAAGGGATACCCAAGATAAAGTAAATAATAAATTGATCCTAAGTATAGGATTGGCCTACGGGTGTGTTCGGTAGTCCTTGTGGATAGCCGGTTGAATTATGGAAATAGTAAGGACCATGGCCCTTCCCGACTCTAGAGAGCAGGGTTGGATAGCATGGACTTACATCCAGGGGCGGGATGTTGGAGTCCGAACCGGGAGCCCCATGAGGTCTCGGACAGCGGTAGCAAGTCCCGTAGAAATAATAAGACCCAAGGGTTGGGTTGCGCAAATGATAAATGAAAAAGGGATATATAAGAAGGGTCGTGTGCCGACAAATAAATAAGTTTACTTATTATAAAGATAATAAGTGGGAAATATAAATTATTATTTATATTATGATATCGCCCTATTTTGAGGGTCTTGGAAATTAAAACGTTGATTATACTTAGTATAGTTGCTATTGTACTTGTCAAATATTTCCAAGTACTGACCTCCCCTTCACGAGGGAGGCCACCTCACAGTTTCAGGTAGAACTTGAAGGTTGCTACCATTACCCGTTGCTTCGGGAGGCTCAAGGGAAGAAGACGTGGTTCGTGCTTCTTCCGTTCTGTTTTAAAAACAATTACGTTAATGCTCATGGATATTATTTTTGAATAATTATTTGGGGGCTTGTATGCCCATGTTTGCCAAAGTGTGGCTAAGACATTTTTATTAAATGCTTCCGCTGTTTTAAATGCATGTTTTACATTATGTTTGTTTATGGATGTACTATGTGTGAATGATATTCATGACGCCTTGTGTAGTATGGATGAGTTGGACCGCGGTTGACTATTCGTACTGTACGGCGGGTTGTTGACGTGTCCGGCTAGGTCCGGGGCGTGACAGTGTAAGTCCTTCGACGGCACCGGTGACATTACTGTTGCCGCCGATTAGATCAAAAAGGTGAAGGATGCATCAAGAGATATGCAAATCACACCGGACGTGAAGTTGACTATTGCTTCACGTTTTCTTGATGGAATGACTTCTACATGGTGGGAAGGTGTAGAAGGAAAATACCGTGGGAACATCTCATGGGAGAACTTTGAGCAAGAGTTTTATGCTCAATACTACTCCGACTTCGAGTTTAACGTGAAGAGGAGGGAGTACACAAAGCTCAAGCAAAAGGAGGGTGTAAATGTCAAACAATCGGAGCAAGAATTCAGAACCTTGGCGAGGTTCTTACCGGAGTATGCGGCTGATGAGGACCGCATGAGTGAACATTTTTTGGATGCCTTACTCTTGGACATCCGTGATCGGGCCACATACTCACGTCACATGACTTTTAGTGAGGTGTTGGAACAAGGTATGCTTGGGGAAACCCAATGGAATGAAAGGAAAGAAAGAGATACCAAAGAGGCAAAGAAAAGGAAATGGAATAGTTCAGGACTGCCCGATCATTCGCGGAAGAACAACCACGGGGGCGGTGGTTCATTCAAGGCGCCGGCACCACCGGCGAAGAAGAACAGGGACTCTAGATGGCATTCGTCCCCTTCTCACAAGTACGGTGCCACCTAAATGTGCTAATTGTTCAAAGAACCACTTCGGGAAGTGCAATGCACCCCCGAGGTGCTACCATTGTGGGAATACGGGTCACATGAAGGCCAATTGCCCATAATTGAGGAGAGAAGGAACTTTGGGAGCCGGAGGATGAACCATGACGTGGAAGAACCGTGCGGGACCGTCTCACGGCGGCACAGGCAGAGGTGGCGCATCAACAAGCCATGTCGCGTCCGTCAACCAAGGCGGGGCCCAAGCACATGTTTTTTAAATGACTGAGCTTGATGCTCAGGCTAACCCCTGTTGGAAAAATGTGTTAAAAATTGCATTAAATGGTCATTTTGGGGCAATTATTTGAGTGGGGTCCACTTCCGATTTGGGTCGGATCAAAGTAATTTCGGATTGTCCTTGTTAAGGGCTACAATTCGATATATGGTACGCTCAAAACGGATAACGGGTGAATGAGAAATTGATTCTCGAAGTTCACTCGTTGAAATAGAAAAACTGGGAAAATGATGAGTTTCTAGTGTGTTTTATCCCACACCGAAAAACTCAAGGGATTTTCACCCCCTTATAAAGGGAAGCCTCTTTTAAGGAGTTAAGATTCCTAAAGGGAAAGGCTCTCTCTTACGCGCAGGGGGGGGGGGGGTGCCGATCAAATCCCGAAACGGAGAAGAAAAACCGCGACTCGTGTGCGCGGGCGACCTGCGGACACGAATGCCGTCCAAAAATCTACCTCTCAAGGGGTGTTCTGTTGGGTTCTCGTTCGCTGGAACTCTTGTTTGTGTGCTCAAACATTAGTTCGTAGTCATCGTATCCTAGGAAACGATTATTGCAACGCTCCTAGCACCGTGGGAGGCAACAAATACGTTTTAAGGAAATCGTGCGTAGCACGAGCTTTGGCTAATTCTGCTTCATCTCCTTTCTTGTTTTTCTCTAGTCATTTTATTTAATTAATTTATTTTAATTAATTTTCTTTATTTTCCGAAACACACCCAACAACCCCGACTCCGTCGCAGGTAATCCCTTGTTAACGCTTGATAAATTATATAATGTTAAGTGTTAAAAATGATAGCGGGTTTAAACAGGCCGGTCAGGGTCTTTACCGCCCGATTTTTAGCAAAAAGTGGTAAAAAAGGGTCTGCCCTGGGGCAAACCGGCGCCGGTCAGGGAGTGAACCGGCGCCGGTTCGAATTAAATTAGTTAAATTGGAGTACGCCGTACTCCAACCGGCTCCGGTTTGGTTGAATAAATGTCGTCGTGCTCAAAACTGAGGCCGGTTTTGATTAAAAATAAATATTTCCAAGATGCCGAAGGTAAACCAGCGCCGGTTTTGCCTAGAACCGGTGCCGGTTCAGTTCATTTTTGGGTAATCCGGCACCCTAGGGGAAAACCAGCGTCGGCCCAGCCCAAAATCGGCGCCGGTCCAGTGCATTTCCGACCCGAAAGTGTCCGTTTAGCCTGTTTTCAATCCAGTACTTCGAGTAGAGTGTCTTACATCATTTGTAAATGTAGGAACACTACAGATCAATGGAAGAAACGCTAGGATTGTCATTGACAATGAGGCGCAACGTTCATTTGTGAGTGAAGCGTTCGCCGAAAGTCTTGATGTGCCATTGACACCGATGATACAAACCTTGTTAGTCTCCACACCGTTAGGAGATAACGTTGAGAGGAACCATTACTATCCATCATGTGAGGTAGAAGTGACGGGTCAACCTTTCACATGTGATTTCATACCTCTAAGTATGTTGGAGTTCGATGCAATCCTAGGGATGGATTGGATTGAGAAGCATCATGCTCGAGTTGATTGTTACACGAAAGTTTTGGAACTCGGCGATGATGAGGGAAACACATTACGATTTGAGGGAGATCAGGGATGATCTCATGGTTGTATCATATCCGTGATAAGAGCATGGAAGATGATGAAGAAAGGATGCCACGCGTACCTTGCTTTCGTGGTGGATTTGACAAAGAAAGAAGTAGACATTAATGATTTACGTGTCGTGTGCAAGTACCCAGACGTCTTCCCCAAAGACTTACCGGGGCTTCCACCCGACAGAGAGATTGAATTTGTGATCAAAGTAGAGTCGGGGACCAAACCCATTTCAATTCCTTCTTATCGAATGGCACCGGCGGAGCTTCAAGAGTTGAAGGTCCAATTACAAGAACTATTGGACAACGGGTTCATTAGACCTAGTCATTCAACGTAGGGAGCACCATTACTATTCGTGAAAAAGAAAGATGGTACACTAAGAATGTGTATTGACTACCGACAGTTGAACAAGGTCACAATCAAGAATAGGTATCCTTTACCGAGGATTGATGACTTGTTTGATCAACTTCGGGGGCGATGGTGTTCTTAAAGAATGATTTGAGGTCGGACTATCATCAGTCGAAGATCAAGGAGAGTGACATACCTAAGAGTGCATTTCGCACTAGGTATGGTCAATACAAATTTCTTGTGATGTCATTTGGTTTAACCAATGCACCAGCGGCATTCATGGACTTGATGAACCATGTGATTTGTGAGTACTTAGATCAGTTTGTGATTGTATTCATTGATGACATCTTAATATACTCAAAGAATGAAGATGAACATGAGCATCACTTGAGGCTTGTGCTTGAAAGGCTAAGAGAGAAGCAACTATTCGCCAAGTTCTCTAAATGCGAATTTTGGCATA